TTGTCAGTATTCTCATTAGGTTGATTAAAAATTTGCCATTCATATGAGGTAGCCTAATTTTCTGACTACGGGTCTCGACGAACCATTCAGCCGATTTCAGTAACATGACCGACTGTGTACGTTCTAAGATTATATGACCTTCTTTACCACCTCCGGTAAAGTATGCAAATGAGTTATCCAGCTAGATCAGGTTCAAAACAAACAATATAACTACTACTATTACAACAAACGGAAGCATAAGAGAAGACACGGACTTGCCTTTGGTGATTGACGATCATTACAAATACAAATGACGGGAATGCGACTGGATTTAATCATGTTGATCAACTCTTGCATTCCGCCCCGATCTTCATTGCCAGCCATACCGTCCACTTCATCCATGATGAGAACGTGCCGATCGCGACTGAGCTTTGAGGCTTTGCAATAATGATGATCGCGAAGGGGAGAGGAAAACACGTCAGGGGAAAACAAGTCACTTCACAAAGTTGATTATCAACGGAATTAAGAAAAAGAAACGACCGAATACATTAATGTGAGAACTTAGACAAACATACTGAACTTCATGGTAAAAAATCAAGTTGAACCACGATTTTTCACAGAGAACCATTTTTACCCTGCTGACTAGTACCTCATTTTCACCACTCATTTCAGTTTTTACAACGACTAACCATGTACTTTCGTGCGCCCGTTTTGGTTGCTGTCTCATGATTGTCCATTAGGATGAACAAGTACAGGGATGATTCGAATGTTCAAATTAGTGTCAGAGTGAACACAGAGAATTCACATAGCCTAAGGATAGTGAGCAGATGCACGAGCACCACTGTTTACGACACTCAGCCATATCACTGTCCCCAGCCATCGGTTACAATGATTACGGGGTCTCCATCCCGGAAGCCTTACGCAGCCTATGTGAGCAAGTCGCCTGATCGGTGTTTTCACACCTTCATGACAAGTCCGAGTTTGACAAACAGCACATGCCGGGGTAACGTATTTGGTGATATGCGCAACACATGTCCCGACCAACGCAGTCTATGAAGGTCGACCACTAGCCCCAGTGAATGGCCGCGATTAACTAAAGCTCTGCACCTAACCTCAGCATTGCTTGTCCGGTTTCACCATCAAACTCGTGCAATGCTGCGTAGACAACGGTGTTCGAATCCTGATAATCTATATTTATCCTGTTTTTGTACTGGCCAAGTCTGTGCCCCGTGGAGCAGAACTAGTCGAACTGCTGCAACATATACCCGACCCTTCACGGAGAACCGGATGTCGTGACGGCGCCACAAATGTCCCAGGTTGGCATATGCCAATCGCGGATTCTGTATGCGTGCCGATACTTCATCTGCGATGCATCCACCGGGTAAGATGTAGTTGCCTATTTAGAGTAAGGTTGGGGGCTGAACCAACCCACTCATGTAGGAACATTCTACACTTGGAAGTAACAAGGATCGAAGTTTTTTCTTCAAACAGAGACACAGCAACGTTTATAAATGAATTCACCCATTTACACCTCCTACTTCAATTTAACATTTGTGCAGGTTCATAACCCGGCAACCTCTATGTGAACTTGTTTTCTTTTAATTTTCTCCGGAGTTTCGCGGATAGTCTCCGAAGTCACATGGGTATTTTTCACAGCTAACAATTGTCTAAAGAGCTGAATCAAAATGATTCATTTGAAGGACATTCGATCATCAGTGGTGGTGATGATCGTGCGGTTGCCGTCGCTGGCGTGTGAACCCTGCCACCATTATCCGAATTTGGTGGTAAACCGGTTTGTTGTGATCAGGCTCAATACCACACTCACTCAATTGGGATGAGATTTAGTTCACTATTTCTAGGGATTGGGTCGCCGAACAGTAGGTGCATAATAAAAAGGTAATCATCCTTTTACAATGATGAAATCGGGTAAACTTTGGGCATGAACAAGCCTCCCCCCCCTCATCATCATACTTATTGCGAAGTGGGGAAAAGTAATGTAAATCAAACATACCTTGACCACATGCCATTTGTTTCAAGTTTTGCATTCCCAATGTTTGACTGACTTCTTCCTGTAAGCTACGTTTCGAACGACAGTCAGACGCATTCAGTTCACATGTGGTAAAACCCAGTTCGCAACAAACGATCACCGCGGAACTCGTTTTCCCAATTCCCGGCAATCCTGACAGTAAAGCTGCGCGTGCCCATCGACCGTCGTCATTCGATCCGGTGGCCCAAGGAGGGGCTGAGGAATAAGCACGGGCTTTGGCACCTATGAAATGTGGGGATAAAAAATAAAACCAACAGTTCCGGTCATCTGGACCACTGTCTTTATGTACTGCGAGTTATACACGGGTGTGGGGACAACGTCAGACACATATCTATACTTTAAACAAAGCGAAGGAATTCAAAAAGAAAACACTTAGCCGAAAGAATAGACGGCTATAGTGAGATTATATTTGGAAACATGCACATCACCGCCAAGAAGCTGAAAGCGTTATAAGACAGTGTGAACGGACCAAGGTGATCACGAATGAGAATCAAGTAGAAAATACTGTAGCTGAAAAGGAAATAATGATGTCAATAACAACTACGACGACTTATGTGAGGTATCAGGTCTAAGACAAACCCAATGCAGGATAGAGTATACGTAAACAGCAAGTAATCAATAACGTTGAAATTGACGGAAGCGAGATCACATATGGAAGAAGGTGAAGGTGGAACAAAGTTTGCCTATGGCAACAGAAAAGGGCCTCACAAAAAGTGTGCTACTGATACCGATTTTGAGTCACGTCTACTAGTGTCACAAGGCATGACGTGATAAATAACTCATTTGATAACCAAACCTAAACGCTTCAACAGAATAGTGAAGGTAGGCCTTCTTATTTACTACAAGTTATCGGTGAGCTGTGCTGCCGAATGACAGGAGTACGACAGTTATGCAGTTGTGGGTAGGTGGATAAAACTGCCAAGGTGGTTCGCTAAACTGGGTAGACAAATAGTCATTATGGTAGTGTTAACTGCTGACCACTATCGACTACATTCGATTCGCATTGACGAAATTATGGTCACATATGGATTGAAACCAAACATACTACTGAAGAGATATCAGTTACTTAGTAGAGCGAATAAAGCCGCTTGTGATAAAGTATTCTAACCGGTTGTGGCATAAAGTGGTGTGATGCGCGTCAGTTTTGCGTAGCTTGAGTATGGAATTCTGTCATCCTTTTAAGCAAAATGCATAAACCACATTTAATATGATGAATAGGGTCAAACGAATCACACGTTCAGCAGCACTTTTCATCCTCCTCTTTCAACATTGCTGTCACACGTCCGTAGGATTAAACCTGTTCTCTTGGAGATATTGAAAAAAGTTCACAATTCTCACTCCTAGGGTTCAGGTTGTCATATTGTGTACAGTCAAAGAGTAGGTCATGATGCCTATGAGATTCACTTGAACCAAAGATTGTGGAAACTGCATCTTAACAATATTGTCCGCAGGATTATAAATCTATTTTTCACACATGTTTTAGTTCAGACTATGTGCCAATTTTCAGTTTCAGTTTGAACAACCATTAACCACGCATATTCGAGCACCGGTTTTGGTTGCTGTCTTTTGACTGCCCATTGGGATGAAGAATTGGAGAAGGAAGGAAAGTTGAAAGTGGAGTCGAAAACAAAATGGAGAAGTTCAGTTCAGTTGCTAAGAAATTGAGGAGATGCACGAACGCCACTGTTTACGACACCCAACCATATCGCTCAGTGTCTCTAACCATCGGTTCCGATCATCCCGAGGTCCCCAGCCAGGGAGCCTAACAGGACCCATGTAACCCAGTTTCCTGGTTAGGGTTTTCATACCCTCAGGCCATGTCTTAGCTTGACCACCCTTGGCTTTTTTCCACTCGGTATCTGCTTCGGCGAACATCGCTCGCCGTGGTAGCCTATCTGGTGGCATGCGTAACACATGTCCCAGCCAACGAAATCTATGGAGGGCGACCGTATTTACCCAAAACTCTGCCCCTATCCTCAGCATTGCTCATCCGGCTACCCCACCAGATTCGTGCAATGCTGCGTAGACAGCGGTGTTCAAACNAGCGCCACAGATGTCTCAAGTTAGCAAATGCCAACCGAGCCTTCTGTATGCGAGCTGACACTTCATCCGTGATGCGTCCACCGGGTGAGATGTAGCTGCCCAAATAACAAAGGTTATCCACCTGCTCTATTACTGCTCCAGTAAGAGTGAGGCTTTGTACTGGACCGACCCAGTCTTGTATCAATATTTTACACTTTAAAGGTGCAAAAC